CCAGTGGCGCAGCGGTTAAGTTCGCACGCTCCGCATCTCAGCGGCCCGGAGTTCCCCGGTTCGGATCCCGGGTGCGGACATGGCACTGCTTGGCATGCCATGCTGTGGTAGGCATCCCACATATAAAAAGGAAGAAGGGCATGGATGTTAGCTCAGGGCCAGGCTTCCTCAGCAAAAAAAAGGGGAGAACTGGAGTAGTTAGCTCAGGGCTAGTCTTCCTCAAAAAAAATAAAGAAAGTGCCTATTTAACCACTAATTGTGTGCATGAGTATCTGCAAGTAAGTCAGTGCAAGTCTCTTAGCTGGTGGCAGAGGCCAAGCAAGGTGACATCTAATACCAGCTCCGGCACAGATCAACTGGATGGCCTTGTTAGAGACTTAACCACCATCCTTACATATAAAGAGGGAGTAATTACCATCCTCAAGTAGGAAGATAAAATAAAGCACTATTCAATTATTTTAAATGTTTAATACACATTTGGGTCTTTCAAAAATGCTGATTAAGATTTCTAATGCTATAAAAGCAAAGTCTCACCTAGTTTAAAAGACAAGCAGTACAGCAATGACGTTTTCTTCACTGTATATTACACCCAACCTTTGAAAAAAAATCTGTATTTACTGGTTTATCTTATACTTACCATTTAAGGTCGCTTTACTAATCAAGCTTGATAATTAGTTCATTCTGAATCATAAAAACATGTGTGTATGTGGGAATCTCAATTGCCCAGATAAATTCAAATGATAAAAGATTCCTGTATGATACACCTTTTTTCTCCATAAACAGGCATAATTTAACCTTTGACATTTCTGATCATTTTGGAAAACTATTGTAGCTCTTACTTTATCAACAGTATTGCAGACAACTGCATTTTCCAAAAAACAACTTGTGACCACTACAACATCCCAGCTCCTCTCACTTTTCCAAAACCTCATCGCTCCTCGAGCAAGATGTAGTCCCCTCCCATTAAACTTGGGTAGGTTTGCAGCTGACTCAAGAGTACAAAGTGATGACTTCCCCGACTAGGTCATAAAGAGGATGCAACTGGGGCTGGCCGGGTGGCGCAGTGGTTAAGTTTGCACGTTCCACTTCTCGGCGGCCCAGGGTTGGCCGGTTTGGATCCCGGGTGCAGACAAGGCACTGCTTGGCAAAAGCCACGCTGTGGTAGGCGTCCCACATATAAAGTAGAGCAAGATGGGCATGGCTATTAGCTTAGGGTCAGTCTTCCTCAGCAAAGAGGAGGACTGGCAGTAGTTAGCTCAGGGCTAATCTACCTCAAAAAAAAAAAAAAGCATGCGACTTTTGCCTAACTCTTCGACCCCGACCACGGTGCTGTGAGGCAACGTCTACCTTAGGTAGAGTTCTAGCCACATGCGAGCTGAGATTTTAGTCAGCATCAACCACCCATGCATGCAGAGCCTTCGGACGGTTCCAGTCCTTATTCATCAAAAGCTGCCCCTGCTGATGATAGTAAAGCAGAAATGAACTACCCAAGCAGAGTCTGCAAAATAAGTCTTGTCAATGTTGAGAGCGGTTCTGTTATGCAGTACTAGGTAACTGCAACAACTACTGATACCTTCTCCACATTCTCATAGTCCCACTGAGTTTACAGAACAGTATACACAGTTCAGCTTTGTTTTATTATTGTTTCAATATAAGTCACTCAGTATGTAGGAATATGACAACTCCAAAACACTTTGGAGTATCTTGATTGACTTATGAGATTGATGAGATTGAATCAATCATTTAACTTGCTACGTGGCCCCATACAGTATTATGGCTGGTATACTGGAAGGAGTCTAGATAAATCCCAATTGATCTACATATACAAAAACTTGCTGTACATCCACCATCTTCCAGGCCCAGTACTGAAGTTAGGAACTCCAATAGGAAGCAAGCATCCTTACAGCACTGTTGAACTGGCAGAACCAGTTCAGAACTGCAAAACCAGAGAGAACAGATATTAATTTGATGAAAAGGAGACGACGTTGAACTAATAAGATATATGCACAAAAGACCAGTGGCAGGAAGGACAATTAAAAGGCAGCCAAGCAGAGCTGAAACATAATACCAATGAAGGTTAGATGGGCTGGGTCGCTGATGGCCAAGTTGCTCCGAATGTTCTCTGTCCACTCACCACACTAGCTAACAGCAAAAGTAAATCCAGCCTCGAGTTTTGAAACTCAAATTGATCGGCCTAATTCAAGTCTAAACCCACATCTGATCTCCAGACAGACACCTGTCTCACTGTCCACCCCTAGACTGCCCATCCTCTATGTCCAGGGCTCCAGGTAAATGTTAGGCATGGAGAGGACGGGCTGAGTAACATGACAACAGGGGTGTTTTGGAGCATGAGATACCTAAATACAATGAGACTTCATTTAGTTTTAAAGCAATGACTTTCAACAAACATCAAAAGCCTTTAAAATAGGGGCAGAGGTTTATATTTATCATCCAGTCATAGTCTCTGTGTTCTTCTGTACACCAACTGGGGCACATCTTAGCCAGGAGCCATTCTGCCTTTAGAGCCAACCAAAAAACAAAACACAACAAAAAATCTTCAACTAGTTCTGAAATTAACTGCTGATATCAATTTACAAGTTGACTTTCAACCACAAAGTCTAGGTTTTCTTACGTTTAGGACTCATATTTACTGAATGCTCATTATGTATATATCAAGTTCTAAACACTCTCCAAGTACTTGTTCCAAGCACCACAATCTCTCACAAGACAAATCATGGCTTCTTATTCCTATAGAGCAACCTCACCTACAATTTCCAACTGTATCAGCCACTAACTCTACCTATTTGAAGAAATGATAAATATGCACTGGGGTAAGGCTAGGAAAAATTCTACTGTGTTAGATTAACTTTGAAGTATTCAGTATACATTCTTTTAATACACTTCCTAAGTATATCACCTGAAAAGGCCTAGAAACAAGGACATCCCAGGACAAACACACCCACCACCTAGACTTGGTTTCTAAATACCATTCTCCGTTAAAAGGGATCCTTAGAGAAAGCGCCAATTTCAGGGCTGAGACACAAAAGCATAAACTGAGCCCAGAAAATCCTTTTGAGCTATAAAGTAGTTAAGTGCTCAACACCAAAAGCACGTGAAACCAGCTTTAAAAGGATACCACTGCTCAAATTTTTGATAATTTAATCATCATAATGAATCCTGACTGCACACTAAAATTTCCTGATTTTGATTAACTGCCCTGTGATTCTCTAAGACTACCCTTGTACTGAGAAAATACAGCATTTAGGGGGTAAAAAGGCATGATGTCTGCCCTTTGTCAACTATGTCAAATGGTTTAGAAAAAAGCATGTATGCATACATAATACATAGCTATGTAGCAAAATCAATAGTGATTTAAGAATATACAGGAATTCTTCCAAGTATTATTAATTTCAGAGTTAGAGAAAAGTCGCAATATCAATAAAGCCTTCCCCTCAAAAACCAATGGAACTTGACTTGAAGGATTCACTGCAGACAATCGACTCATTATTTTAAAAAGGAAAAAAAAAATTCACCCCTTACTTTGACAGGCTAGCCCACTTTAGATCTAGCTCTAACTCAAATGTTCTTACTTTCAAATGGCTGACTCAGTCTATCACGTCTTACTTTAAAAATTATGTTCATGGAAGACTCACCCTCACTTGAAATACCTTAAACAGGTGGTTTTCAGTGTTTTAAGCCCTTTAAAAGGAGTTGTATGGCTAAGTCTTCCACAGCTTGGCCCCTTGTATTTCCATCCACTCTTCAATGCTGTCAATGTGCCCTGCACTGTCCTATTTAAGGACCTTCAACTGTTTATTTCCTCCAGTACTTCACCTGAACTGTTCTCTGCTCAGACGCTCCATCCCTCACTACACAAATTCCTACTCATCCTTGAAATCCCAGCTAAAAGCTCTCATGCAAGTTTTGAGTATTCTGGCAGTAACTATTTTACCATTCCATGAAGAGTTTATCGGAGTCACAAATGCCAAACTTCATTACAAATGATCAAATTATGAATATTAATACCACTAACTCTTGATAAGTGATCTATCAACTTCTGGCACTTGCATTTTTGATCACTTATCCCCAGTTCCTCCTCCTTGTTTTTAAGAAGTCTAAAATACATGAGCTAAAAAGTATTGCTTTTATTTTAAGCGACATTTTACCCTGAGTTTCAAAATAATAAAACTCAAGAGATCTACTAAAGCTACAGACTCTCAATTTTCATATGAAAATTAAGCAATTAAGTTAATGACTTATTTCCTGCTGGCAATTTACTATTTCTAAATTGTTATGTTCCAGTTCTTATTTATTTTATACTTAAGGAAATCAGGTAATACGTTTTTTTTAATGAAAAACCTAAAAGTACCATGTAAGATCAAATGGAAGAAACACAAGATACAAAGCGTATTGTATTTTTTTAAATATAATTAACTAAATACATCAATTAAAATTTCTCATGGATAAATACTTATCCTTAAATAAAGTAATTTCACACTCCAACAAAGATGTTTCCATTTCTCTGAAATCACGTAAGTGATCCTTAATCAATCCAAGAACTTGGCTTTTAATCCAAGTTATATTCTAATATCTGGATTTTTAAATCAATAAACAAAATCACTACTATATATCTGTAAGTTAATCTCAGTTAATTTTACTGTTATCATTTACATTTACTTTTCAGCTTTTGCAGACTTAGTGCTTTAAGCAGCAAATTACCTAAACTATGAACAAATACTTTCAAACAAAATCCAGTTCACAATTACCAAGTATATATACAGTGCAGAAGATTGAGGGGAAAAAAACTTAATCAGCATGATTTCTCTTTCCTAAGGTTCCTACAAAGAATGTATGCTTCTTCTAAACTATCCGTTTCTTTTGTACATTTAAAATAACATTTGTCTGGATGTAAATAGTCAAAAATATAACGACTAAAATTTTTATAAGACTAACCCATAAAAAATCGACTCAAATTCTAAACCAAGCCCTGAAACCAAGCATTCAAAGAATAAAAAGTTTAATATTTCTGCATGGTACAATAAGGTTTTCACAAATAATAATTCAAAATTTTATTTTTAATAATGGGAATAGCCTACAACTCAGATAAACCCACAAATTCATACTGTCTTACAAGCAGCAGTAATACAAACAGTTAATTCAGTTATCTTAGGAGCTTTATCATACACCAATGAGTATCATTAACCTATTCACAGAATAATGAAAATATTTCTATCAAAGCTAACGTCTCCTTTTCAGGTTTATTTATTATTAAATGATCTAAAAAAGAAATAGAGGTAGAATCCCATTTTTCTTAAGTACTATTCCATAAGCCAATTCCACACAATTAACATTTTTATGTCACAGAAATAGTGATACTGCTTCAGTGAACAAGGTAAAATAATTCTGAGAAATTACATAAACTTTGAGACATTCAAGTTAAACTAAAAACTAATCAATTTATGGAAATGCTGTTCTCTGTTCACTTACCATATTTGAATGACCATAAAATGACAGTCAGAAAAATGTTTTTTCAAAGTATTACTTCATAGGTGATTATATGGGATTTTACCATTTCTAGAGAGAAAAAATGAGAGAACTTCCTGGTAGTCAGTGCCTGGGCCAAAGGAGCCTATAAACTGAAAGTGTAAAGACAAAATGCAAAGTCTCAAAAACGTCTGTAGTTACAGAGTAAAACCTGCAGACCTGTGGAATCCCTTTCTTCCTAGTCTTCCAACAATGAACTCCACTCAGCAGGGCTTGGGAGGTTGCTCTTGGAACTATGCAAATTTACAGGCCATCATGGCCTAAGCACAGAATAGCCTACTCTAAACATCTCTACTCTCTGCTCTTTCAAAAAAAGTATATATATTCATATTTTTTTTAAAAAACTACCCAAAATATCACCAGTACATTTTATAAAATTAAATGCAAATTTTATTAAGGATTTCAAATTACATATTTCAAATTTCTAGAATGGGATAGAACCATTTTGGAACTGGAGAGATGGCACAGATGAACACTGATATCCCTTGAAACTCCAACTTTATTAAGAAACCAATTCCTTTGCAAACCGCATCCCCCTTATATAACAAGACGAAATAGTATCTACCCCTTCACTTTGGCAATAGCTATGTCCTAAAGGAATGAAAAAGAAGTTGAGGTTTTTCTATTTCTTTAAGTTCACTGAAAATGGGATTCTATCTTTAGATTAAAATTTTTTAAGTTCAGAAAAAGCTGCGTTCACATGAGCTATGGGTACCCCCCCCTAAAAAAAATCAGCACAGAATGTCTAATCAAAGCAACCAAAATTGTTTTGAAAATAAAGAGGAAAAACATAAGGTGTTTCCATGGCATTTTTTTCCTACCAACTATTGCAATTGGTTAAGGATTTCCAGTAGTTAATTAAAATCTCAGGAGAGGAAGGGATAGTACTATACAAATAACGAACTGTGTTCATGTTCCAAAACCTTAATATACTAAATTTTCAAAAAGAAAGCTCTATCACCTCTGAAAATGAACCAAATGTAATTTTATTAAGAGCAAGAACTCTGGGCTGTCTTCTAATTACAATCCAATTAGTCCACTTCACTGTCAAAGCTTTTAAGCTCATCACAAAAAATTAACAGTAATTAGCCTGAGGTATTTTAAATGTGGCTCTACAGTCTCAAATTTAATGGCATTTTTTCCCCTAAAAATGGTCTTATTTCTACTTTAGTCCCATGACCTCTGTATTATTTACTAAAATATGGTCATAACTAAAATATCTGAAAACAATCTTTGGACCTTTTGGAGTAGCTACTCATCTACCCACTTCTAGTCAAACGAGGCGGCACATGAAGATCTGCAAGAGCACTGCCTGAGCAGGTCCAGAACGGAGGTACTTAACCTGTCTTCCAGTTTAATCATCAAGAGTACTGCCTGAGCAGGTCCAGAACAGAGGTACTTAACCTGTCTTCCAGTTTAATTATCAAGAGTACTGCCTGAGCAGGTCCAGAACGGAGGTACTTAACCTGTTTTCCAGTTTAATTATCAAGCCCTGGTACGAATAAAATGTTGAATATCATACTTGTGGTACAAATAGGTCCAAATTTTTGAGCTCTTAATGAGACTGATAAACATTTCATAAAATTTAACCAATACGCCTTAACACATCTGTGAGGTAGTTAAGTAAACAGTTCTACCCATTTTAATACATAGCAAACAGAAGCATGGGTAAATGATATACTCTAAGCAATAAGAACTGGAATTAAGCACAGAGGCTTGGGGTCTTCTCTCTAGTACTAACCAAAGGAAACGAAATTTAACTTTTCAATCTTTCTTTTTAAAAACATCATTTAAGATTCTTTCTTATTAGCAGATGAAGTACCTCTTCCAAAGTTGGCACCCTTTTCTTCAATAATATGGCAAAATAGGGTACAACGCTTAATTCAAGCTAGGCCTCTGTTTCTACCTAAATTAGTACAAAATTAAGACATTATTTTGTGAGAACTAAAATTATATTTGACATTTTTATTTTAGGCTGCAAAAACAAAAGCAAGCAAACAAACAAACAACAACAAAAAACTTGAAATAGGCTTGTCAAATGATGTAAATTCATCCTTTCCAGGGAAGCAGAAGACCCTACCACAAAGAAAAGATGCTTAGTTAATGGAGGTTAAGTTTAAAAGTACAGTTAAAATAATGAGGCTTAACTTCTGAAAATACTAGGTTTTATTCACCTCCCTGTGGTAACCAATAACCATACTATGAATTAGGTTTCTTTGTAATTAACTATGTCACCTAAAATACAAAAATCCAATAACAAGCTAAGTTATTGGGTGTGGTCATACTGGAAATTCTTAACCATACACTTGTCCTGACAAATTTTGTTTCTGTTTTTTAAATGATGAACGGTCTTAGTATAAGTCGCTGCATTGCTCTAACAAAGTAATGAAAGGCACAGCTAGTGCAGGCAAACAAACTCATTCAACTATCGGCTGAAAAAATACTTTGGTTCTTCAGGAAAAAAATTAGCAAGACAAAAAATGTTTCATTTAACTGTTCTGCTCATTTTCCTAACCGTAATCTAATAGTTACGTGATAAAAATACTCCAGAAGAACCAAACTATGTAGCAATGAATGAACATGCATGAGAGAATTGGTGCATTCAACATATCCGGCAGAAAAATTATAGTTAAAATGCTAGGTAGAACAAATTGGTCTTTAAAATATCAGTTCCTTTCTTTTAAAAAAAATTACTGTCTACCAAGGAAATACAAAAACATAAGGCTGTAAGTAAATAATAGTTGTGTTTAGGCTATTACAGTGCAGGTTATCCTCAAGGCCACATACATCCTGCTTCACTGCTGCTTGCACTCTGCTGGATTTTGATCCTTCTGTTAAAGGAAAACAACAAGTCAATCTATCTTTATCTACCTGCTTCAGTTAATTTTTCAATAGTAATTAACTATCCTAATTATCATATTATCTTACGGTTCTGTCAAAATTTTTGCCAAAGAAATGGTATAGCAATGACAGCAAATTCTTTATTCAAATATTAGCTAGTCACATTAATGCTAAAATAAAGCTCAAATTTTAAATTGTAGAAGGAACGCCATAAAATGAAACACATTAAGCCACCATCTTAAAAAATAAAATAATCGAGCAACTTATGTTAGTTATATTACCAATTATTTTTGCCTCTTTAGAGATGTGTTATTCAAAAACAATAATTCCACTCATATTTAGCTGTTAAGAGTAATTCACACCTGTTAGAGAATATAATTTGATAACCACCCTCTCTTCTTACCTGCTCACTAGGTTAAAGTTCTTCTGGATATTTTACAGCATTCAGCAAATGAATGAATGCATTAAAGAGAAACCAGAAGTTTCAAATGAATCCTGATCATGTACTATGTATTTTGGGAGATAAAGGCCTTTACTACCATGATAGGACAAATTTCCAGGAATAACGGACTGCGACTCTCAGAGATGGAGAAAAGAGGTGGCTGGGAGAATCGAACAAACATTACTGTCCTATTCCTGAGCACTCCTGCATTCAGATGATTTAAAAACTGATCTTTGTTTATAAAGTTCCTTTGGAGGGAAAACCACCTAACAACACAAGCAAAAAGTAATTTAAAATGCTTCTACAAACTGTTTAAAAAAAAAAAAACAAAACCAAGACAACATGCTATTAAAATTGAATCCTAGGGTTTACTACGCCTGAAACTACGAAAAATACAAGGTCAAAACCAAAAACAAAAGTTTCTTAGAAAAGGTGCATTGAAATTACATGTACTGTTGAAATGCCACAGGGGATTAAAATATCTATTTAGTGGAGAAAAACAAACTTTACATCTAGAAACAACAACTCTTATTTAACCTGTCTTAAATTTAACAGAAAATAGCACTAATTTTGCTCACCTTTGAGTCATAGTCTGGATCATTTTCCTCATCTCCTTCTTCTTCCCCTTCCTATATTAAAGTTCAAAATGTATCCATGAAGTAGGTACACAGTAGGAAGAAATGGCTCATAATGTAGGAAGAACTTAACACAAGTTACTCTATAGGTCAACAGATTGTCATGATTACAGAGTTTGGTGACCATGCAATTTAATTTGAAAGCTTTTAATATGAAAAATTTCCCAACACAACTTGAGACATCCAGACAGCTTTTATTGAAAAGATTTACTGCAGCCAACGTTGAAAAAGTTTACTGCAGCTTTTGACTTCTTCAAAGAGCTGATAACCCTGCAGCAGAACAGAATTATTTGAAATAAAAAAAAATGTTCTGAGTTTTGCAATTTATTTATTGAAACCTTATACATACATTGTTTGGCTGTAGAATTCTAAAATCATTTTTTTTTCAAAAAACATTTTTATCCCATATCACAGAAAAATGATTATAGCAAAGGAATACATAAGTCATTCAATTTGCTTCTCAATGTTAAACAGAGAATTATTTGCTCATTTGGTAAACATTACCTCATCCGCTTCTTCACCTTCTTCATCATACTAAAAAGGGAAAAAAGGACAAGTTTGAATGAAATTAATAAACATTTGAGAATAGCATTAGTTACATCCATCACTGTTTCCACCAATATCTAAAAAGAGGAAAAGTACTTTCCCTGAGGTGACTGATTAGAAATTAAGGACAACAGATGCAGGAATCACTCACCTCAGTGCCATAATCTAAATTTGACAATTTAAAAAATTAAAATAAAGAATACAGTACAAGCATGAATAAAGTATCCTCCTATTAGCAGAAAAATAAAAACTACAATAAATGAACCCAAAAATCCGAAGAGAACTTATTTAAAATTATCCTAATTTTGAATTATTCTCCCTTGCTTTACAGAGTTACATGCAGTCATTAAGCCTCTCATCAGGGCCATCACACCCTCACCAACTGATCCCACTGAAGGACTCAGACTCACATCGTCGTCATCATCTTCAATAGCTTCTCCAGTAAAGTATAACACTGATCTTGGGATTATACGCTCACGTAAAAAGTGACCAATTTCAAAGTCTGCAGCAAGGATAGCTTCAGCATCATCATCCTGTTTAAGAAAAGAAGCACAAAATTTAATAGCTTTAATATTTAATTTGGCATATATGAAACTCACGTTAAAATCATATGAAGAAACTCTCAATTTCGCTTTTAACTTTCAGTCATTTTTAAATTAGCTTAGGCGGGTGATCAAATAGTCATCTACCTATGCCCTGGGTTTACAAAAGGTTTTTAATAAACAGAAAATAAGTTAGCAGGCCAGTGTGTATACTCAAAGAAACTTTGGGAAATAAAAATTAGAACTGGTAATTGCTTAGTTTTTTCTGGCTTAAAAGAAAGATAAAAAAGCAACTTAGTTATACGACAGCAATTTTCCCTTAAAATGTTAATTATTGAAAACTCCAAAGGAACAAACAGTACCAAAGCATCTCAGGCTTTCATAAATAATATTAACTACATGGCACATAATAAAATACCACAGAGGATCACTTCATAATTCCTAAAAGACAGTACCCAAGCAGCTGTAGAATGCCAAATGAGGAAACAGTCCTACTTGAATAAAAGTGACTTAGTCAATCAAGGATTTCTATTTAATGGCAAAGCAAAGCATAGAAATGGTGCTAACACTATTCAAAATTTAAGCAATCCCATTTAGGTCCTATGATACTAAACAATGAGTAAACATTCTGTAAATTCCATAAATGTTTATTTTGATTCATCAATATAATCCTCTCTAATAAAACAACAAGAAACACAAAGGGTGCGGGGGGGCAGACTTTGAAGGAAAGAATTCTAATCACAGGTGGAGGTGTTCTATTCATAACTATCAAAGACTGTTTTGTTACCATCAATACTTGGTAACAGACAAAAAAAAAACACACTTGAACACAAACTCTATCCCATTCACTGACATGAAAAGAGCATGAAACTCTATCTTAATGCTCCTAAGTAGTTCTTTTTACCTAAACCTCACACGTTGTTTTATATTTCCCATTTCTGTCCTATAAAAAACACTAAGCCAAGCCAGCTATTACTTTTTTCAGGCCAAAATACTACTTTCCTTCTGCAGATCTGGTATAAGTGCCTTAGTTAAATCGATTTCAATTTAAAAGTATTCAAATACACATAATTTCTAATTCCATATATGTATAAAACTATTTAAACTACCTCATTTAATTCAAAAATGTGGCCAACAGAAAACCAAATTCATAACATACCTAGCTTACCCTGCCTTCTCTGAGGTTGTTCCTCATTCCAGGCTATATGCCAGGCACATTTCACAGTTCCTAGTTATACGGCCACATAAATGAAACCATACTTCCATTGGAATAACAAACACAGAAAGAGTCCTAGCCATAACATGGTTAGAGGGAGTTTAGTAAATAGCATAAATGACTTAAAATACTCTAGTTTCAACAAAGAAGAAAACTACATATAGTCTTGAAAACTTGAATTCCTCACAGCAGTATCTGCAAGTCTTAAGAAAAAAGAAAATCCTTAGGCCTTTCAGCATTTCTCAGTGGAAGCACCATAGACATTCTGAATGGAACAGTTCTTCAAATGCATGAAGGTCTTTCCCACGCATTTCCAAGCCTCAGAACAAAATGCTAGCAACTATCACGCTCCCTGCTTTTGTGAACCAGTCCTTTAATTTCATATAGTAAACATTCAACAAGTGACAATTCAGCTTACCAGATCTCCGCTCTCAGGAACTGCAAAATTGAGAAGAGAAATCCAAGTGAATAAAAAATTAAACAAAGCTTACAATAAAATAATCATTAATACCTAAACTAAAGCATTGTTTACCTTCAGGAGGGGCAAAAAAATTAAAGAAAGAGTCATTGGAAACTGTTTTGGTCACAGTACGAACTGTCCCACGTCCCTTGTGTTTCTGCTTCTTCTTAATGGTTTTCAAAGTGACATTCTTTCCTTTTTTCCAGTCTATCTGGCACCTTCCAAAACAAACAAACAAAAAATCTTCTATCACAATTATCACATTACTTTCAATTGACAGGAGAGGTAAGATTTTTCTAACGTTATACTTTACTTCACATTTGAGGAAAAGATTGGTTCAAATGCTTTCCGTAGCAGCATAAAAAGAAAAATTTTATTTCTAAACAAAATTTTTCAATAAATATCTTTAACAATTATCAAAAACTCACAATATAATAAATTTAAACGTGCACTCCTTTGCAGAAATACCTGCAATAGTCTATGGGCCAAGGAGAATTCTAGGAAAAGGGATAAGATCTTCTCAGAAAACATTTTACTGAAATGTGTGCAGATAAACGAATTATGTACTATGTATGTACATACGAAGCACACAGACTAGGAAATACCAAATATCAAAAACCATAAGTAAAACAGAAACAGATATAACATTCCGTTAAAGTAAAATTAAACTCACCCTGTACAACCCATAATTTCTGGTCCATCAAAAGAAAAGGGATCAGAATCATCTGGCTCTGACCTCATCCTATATGTCTTTGTCAGCACTTCATTTGTGAAATATTCATTGGGTTCAAAGTGAAATTCTAAGACAAAGCTCTTTAAAAAAATTTAAAAAAGAATAAAAACTAATTAAATTCCCACACTATAAATTTCAATAAAGCTTAATCTCTGATTTCTTTATAAACATATAAAATTCTAAGTGATAATGTTTTTCCTACTCTGGCAAAGGGTCAGATAAATTCCAAATTATGTTAAAAGCAAAATGAGGCACAAAATAAACTGAACAAACCTTACACTAACTTAGCTTACACTGCTATTTAGTTAACAGGTTAACAAAATAGGTTAGGCACACCTAAGTGAACTGACCAAGTGCCCCTCCTCCCTCCATCCTCTCAGACAGGACTTTAAATCTTAGAACAGAACCTGAGCCTGACAGAAAAGGCCCAACCTTATTACATGCAATATAAGAATCTATGGCCTATAGCTTTGCCCATGCTTTACATAATACTACTGGTTTTGGGGAGAAGCTGTTGGCTGATATTTCATAATGAGAAGCGGGGTCCCTCTAACATCATCTGTTTTATGTAATTCCCAGACACATGCCTTTTAATACAGAATAAGCATTTTCTTATTCATGTTCCCTTGCTATTACTTTATCCATTTTTATTCCAGGATCAAGGATTCACTATATTTCGACAATAGTTTATGCTCAGAGGGAGGACAAGGAATAAATACTGCATCACAATTATCAACATCCAAACATTTATTTCCTACCAACAATTAAGAGTACCAAGTATTGGTTCTAATTTTTTACCCTCATCTCTAATCTTTGAATGCCACCTGTGTTTTAGAAAGCCCCTCTATCTGTAAACATCCAATGTTACAAAATTCAAAATATTTCAGAGTTCTTTTACCATAGGTTGGCCAGCATCTGAGAACTTCACTTTAATATCTTTCAAGTGCTTCAGAATAGGTTCATCATGTTCCTTCAAATTAAAAAAAAATTAAAATGAGTATCTAACATGGCATTTTAGGATTAGTGTTCTGTTACTGGACAATAAACACTTAGCTGACTAAAACATTTTACAGTGAAGTTTTATGTCATGATTATGAACCCTAAGACTTACTTCCCAGTTTATGGCTTATACTGAAGCTAATGTACTTAGTTCTACTTACTTCTATTGCCGTTGGCAGGAAAAAAGTGACTAAACAGAGAACTACATCATTATATAGACTGAATGAGCTGAAAAGTACAAAACCAAGTCTAAATAAGGGATGTTTGCTTTAACAATGCTTCCTGATTTTAACTGCTGCCTTTTCCCAGCTGCTGCTTGTTCCTTTCCTTCTGATCAATCCTTTCCTACTTGGCTAGAGTAGCAATGCAATGAGCAGTCATCATTCTGAGATGCCTTTCTTTTTCTTGATGTTAACTTCCAACAATCACGATATAAGGCAACAAGAACTACAAAGCAGATGGTAGTGGCTCAAGCAATGGAACCTGATTAGGAGGGGCAGTTTCCCAGAGAAGGTGACATAGTAAGAGTTAAAGATCTGCATAGAATTTTCTTTTTGGAGGAAGGTTAGCCCTGAGCTAACATCTGCTGCCAATCTTCCTCTTTTTGCTGAGGAACACTGGCCCTGAGCAAATATTCATGCCCATCTTCCTCTACTTTCTATGTGGGACGCCTGCCAAGCATGGCTTGACAAGAGTGCATAGGTCGGCACTCGGGATCCAAACAGCAAACCCCAGCTGCCGAAGCATAACATGCAAACTTAACCGCTGTGCCACCAGGCAGGGCCCCTAGATCTTTACAGTATTTTTTTAAAAATACAAATGTTCCAGGGCCAGTCCCATGGCCGAGTGGTTAAGTTCGCACACTCCACTTTGGTGGCCCAGCGTTTCTGCTCATTAACTCACGCTGAGGTGGCATCCCACACAGCAAAACCAGAGGCACTCACAACTAGAATATACAACTATGTACTGGGGGGCTTTGAGACGAATGAAAAAAAAAAAGAAGATTGGCAACAGTTGTTACCTCAGGTGCCAATTGTAAAAAAAAAAAAAAAATGCACATGTCCTTTGGAACATTTGCTTCAGACTCAAAAGGTCTTTTGAGTAAGACAATTGAAACTTTAAGTCTCTCCCATCCTACCTCTATACTAAGCATCTAAAGACAGAAGGCACTGGGCTATGAGAAAGCACCAGATGAAGATGGGCAATAGTCAAAGGGACAATTTCATTATCAAAGTTTTGAAAATGAATTACAATTTAAGTGACTGCATTAATCAAAGCTGCAATTTGCCCTCTACAAAAAACAGCTGTATCAAAAGAAAGCAATCATTCTATGAAGGTCAACAATGAAGAGACTAGTCATTATGACCATTTAAATTTGAAGAGTTTACCCTTTGAGGTAAACTGATGTTTTTAATGAATAAAATTACCTGAACCATATCACTGAGCAAGTCAACATTCTTAAAAACAGTCAACCAAAATTCAGGAATTCCCTTGGGGTCTTCTTTTTCTTCATCCTTTTTCTCATCTTCAATCTTGGCCTTTTCTTTCAGTTCCTCCTTGATAAATGACAGCATACATTATTGAATACCTACATTAATCTCTTAATAAAGTCTTACATCCCCTTAACTTACATGCAGTGGTAGAATTATGGAAACAAACAAAACCTCAATCACTAATTATAACTATCAGCCAAAGAAGTTCTAGTCCAACTGTGTAAGCACTACTGTTACCCATACAAAACCTTACTTCTATAAATACTGCTATTACCATACCCTCCTGGGACCAGGAGCTGCAGAGCAAACAGTTTTAGGAAAAAAAAAATTTAACTTCATGAAAAATAAAAACTTTTAAGCATAGCAAACAGGAAAAGCAAAAGAAATATAAACCTGTCCAATGCTTCATCCCTTCATGTTCTCAATCAAAATATTATATTCCTTTAATCAACCAATAATAAAACAGCAATGCTGGAGAAACAAGGTCATGTAACAGAGCACTGGATTTGTGTCACAACTCTGCCATTTATTAGTTATGGGCAAGTCACTAGAGGCCTCCATTTATTCACTTGAAAAATGGTAACAATCCTTTGAATTTCATCACGAAGTTCAAAAGAAAAGTTTATAAAAATCTATAAACTTTAAGTATTATAAAAATTTAAGAAGAAAGTGAATTTGGGTACAAATGGTGCTAGGTTGAAGAGTGGCTCATCTGTGCTCATTATCCATCTCACAATAAAGAAAATATCTCCAAGGTATAAAAATACACTAAAGTTGTTACCAACCGAAATTTCATCTTCCTCATCTGGTTTCCACTCACATTCTTCTTCCGTAGGTTCATAAATTGCATTAATAATCTCAAACCGCTAAAATGATTTAGGGGAAAAAAAAGGAAAGCATAAAAACTCTAGCAGCCAAGCTAAAATCCAGCTGTTTCTCATTAAGGATTTAATTAACACGTACCACAACTTGAATTGCTATTACTGATAGTTTTCCCAAATACCTCATAACCATTTTGTTGAGAAGTCAGAAGAAAGTTTGTTTATATTTCCAGAGCTTTATCATGTTCTCAAATTTTAGACAAATAAATCAAAGTAGAAGAAACCATTACCTTATCAAATAGAGGCTGATAGAGAACAGCATACTTTCTTTCAAGATCATGAACTTCCTCATAGAATTTGGCTTCTATCTGTGCACATTTAACTTGTAGGTTTTTGAGAGCATTCACTCGTCTTTTAACTACTCTAGGCAAGCTGAAAGGTTAGAAAGCACCAGTTACATAGCATCAAAGTGAAACACAAGTCACACTTCTTTAATCATACTGAAAGTATTAAAGTTAGTGAATGACAGGTTTCCTATTTGAAGTAAAAGGTATACTCAAAGTAATTAAAATTCAAGAGATATAAATACATGGATCTCAACTATAAAACATTTTAAAAGTGGAAATTAAACCAGGTACAGTAAATTGCTAAGAAAACGTAAACCATATCAACAACTCTAAATCTTTCATTGTAATCAAATTCAGCATTAAACTTGTCAGTGTTGGCATCTCAGCTATAAAATGTAGCTTTTAACTTTTAAGATAAAGTTAAAAAGCTATGGAATGACTATCCTAACTCTAAGAATAACAATGATAACCTGATTTTTTAAAAAATATGGATAGCCCACCTGTACTAGTTATTATTAGGGGAAAGGAGGGGAGCATATGCATATGGGGAAAAAGAATGGTATCCTACACCACTGTTTTCTATTTTAGTCTTTGTATTTAAATTGAATTTGAAATTGTATTAAATAAGAATGTGATATGAAGAGGGAACATGGATTTTTTAAATAACAGCTTCATTGAGATATAATTTACATATCATACAATTCACTAGAGGGCACAGATTTTTTAAAGGTTATATATACACACCTAGCTTTTGAGCTCCTTGAAGAATGACTAAACTTACGAACCCCTCTACCACCGAAAAAATGTTCATATTCGAAATTTACCTAACTTCAGGGAATCTGTGCAACAGATCCAGAATCTAGGTTAGAATTTCCCGCTGTAGACAGATTGTTTTAAATCAAATTCTCTTAACCATTAATTTAGTTAAGATAATCAGAAGTAAAAAACAAATGCCTAAAGATATCAACTTTTTATTTCTTACAATTAAAAGTTTAATGTTCTGTCAAGGAGGTGAAATACCAGGCTGCTGGGCTGCTGGCCTCCCCCCTACTTCGCATCTCAAAAAACATCAACCCTAGAAACTTTAAGAAGGAAAGAACTATTTCAGGCACACTCATATACACCCCGCCCCCGCCATGAGCAACTGCTGAGTAAGACTGAAAGGTGCCTACCTGGCACAGGACGAGCTGCAGCCTGGAGCGGGAAGGAGACGGCCATGGTGGGTAGCAGGGAGGACCGGTTGGAAAATTTTTCCAAGAAAGCTTTTTAAGTTCTGCGCTTGCCTTGCAACACTCATGGCCTGTCCCTTTCACCCTTCACAGTGCCCAGCAACACAAAGAGCTGATGAAAGCTGGACTCGTTCAGAGTTCACAAGCACTCACTTCTCCACACACTCCAATCCAGGTACAATGGATTACAACCAAAAGAAACTGCCTCCTCCCAAAGCAGCCAAGAAAAACTGCCTGGAATTGTCAGCAAAATTGAGTCTGCGGTCTCCTTAGGCTCATCCCATCCCCTTCCCTTCAACTCCAGGGAACTGTCAAAAACCAGTCTGATCTTCAGTCCTCCCTCAATACTAATTATTGGACTAATCTATATCACCCAGTGTGCCTGAGCTCTAAGGCCAAAATAAGTAGACACTTGAGAAGTACAATTTCCACAACAGAATGAAATATTTATCATCTGAAGCAATATTACCAAAGAATTTGTACAAATATGTATATATATTTAGAGATGAGGGAAGATACTAACAATAGGAAACAAGACCAAGAAATCTAATACAAGGTGGGAATATTAGGTATGAAAAATACAGTTAACTAAAATAACCAAATAGGATTAAAAGACAGGTTCGACTCAAGAAAAAATCCATGATGTTGAAAAGCTCTCCAGAAAGGCAGCAGAACAGACAGAAAAGCTACAAGATATGGATAACAAATGTAGTAACAGCTGAAAAATAGAGAAGTGGCTATGTACAGAAATGAGAAAAATTTCTCAGTGTTAAAGCAATCTAAAAACCCTTACTCTAACCTCTAAACACGTTAATGAGATTTATGAACTTCAAAGTCAAAAGAAAATTCGAAAGGTATTCAATGAAAAAAAGTATGTAACCTACAAAGGAAAAGGAATCAAACTGACATCAGGCTTCAAAAGAAAACACTGGACACAAAAAGAAATGATGTGAATCTTTAAGATATTTAAGAACTTTCAAATAATTTTATAAGCCAAACTATTACTCAGATATGAAGGCAAAATAAAAACTGTATGAGGTATATCAACCTTGAGTAAGTATGCCACACATACTCATTATATTCATTAAAAATAATTTTTGAGGAGCCAGCCCCATGGCCGAGCAGTTAAAGTTCACTCGCTCTGCTTCAGCCGCCCAGGGTTTCGCTGGTTCAGATCCTGGGCACGGACACGGCACCCCTCATCAAGCCATGCTGGGGCAGCATCCCACATACCACAACTAGAAAGACTCACAACTAAAAATACACAACTATGTACCGGGGGGCTTTGGGGAGAAAAAGGAAAAATAAAATCTTTTAAAAAAAATTAATAATAATAATTTTTGAGGAAGTAAAACAAACAAATCCAGTAGATGCTATATATAAGTTATAGGTGGGCAGAATATCTTGGTAGATTTTACTGTTTCCTTGAAAGGAAAAACAGAGGACTAGAGAAAGTGTTGGTAAATTTAAGAAATCAACAAGTAAATAAACTTAGGTATTAAGTTACAAATCATTTTACATAATAACAAAAAACAGAATGCATTAACTTTAAAACCAGCAGAAGAAAACTTGATCTATCCAATGGAAAGCAGAAAAAAAAATAAAGTACAATAAATTAAAAAATAAGAAAAGATGGCAGCAATTAAGACCAAAATGAACACCACTTCCAAGAAAGGAAAGAGTTTGAAATTACTAATAAGGAAGCAAACGTTCATACTGGAGTAGGATACAAGGATGGAAAAAGACATTCCAGGTAAATAAAAACCAAAAGAAAGCTGGGGTAGCTATCTTGATACATCAGACAAAACAGAATCTATGATACAATCCACAACTGACGGAATTACAGGAAGAAACAGATAAATTACGTGGAGACTTTTAACACAACCTTCCCAGAAACTGTTAGATCAAGCAATCAATCAATAAGCAGAAATGAGAACCTGAATAAATAAGCTTGAGCTATTAATTTCAGCATATAGATCTTCACACCTAACAGCCACAAAACATTTACAAAGCCATAAAAGATACAGACTACTTAAAAAAAAATCAAATGAACTAAAAGCATTCAATTAAAGAAAGAGGAATAGAGCAAATCCAAATAAGAAGGAAATAACATTAAAGTCAGAAGAAAGAAGCAAAAGCCAAAAAACACCAAGATGGAAATGAAAAAATCTAAAACAGATTAACAAGATTGAGACAACTGATAAAACTACTGAAGATGCAAAATAGAATATAAAGGAGAAAATAATCAGATTTTTAAAAAATTATACACTAAGCAATTTGAAACCTAGATAAACAGCATGCATTTTTAGAAGAATATAAAACTCCAAAATTGGCACAAGAGAACTTGAAGAGGTCAATTAGCATAGTAAAAAAAGAAAAAGAGGGGTTGGCCCCTAGTGTAGTTGTTAAGAGTTCGCACGTTCCAATTGAGTGGCCTGGGGTTCATGGGTTTGGATCCCAGGCTCGGACCTACATGATGCTTATCAAACCATGCTATGGCAGGCATCCCACATATAAAACAGAAGATGGGCACAGATGTTAGCTCAGGGCTAACCTTCCTCACCAAAAAAAGAAAAAGACAAAAGAATTCCCCAAGGCCTCTAGTTCCCAAATACCAAAGGCCCAAGTCAATTTTTGGAACAATTCTACCAACTGTTCAAGGTACAGTTAATTCCTATCTCATACAGGTTGTTCACGAAAACAGGGAAATCTGCAGCCCTGTTCACTTCATTAGGCAGTTGAAACCTTGACTCTAAAACCGGGGTATAGAATTACCATCCCCTGAAAGTTTCTTTATTGTATATACATACAGGCACATATATGCACACACAAGCTCATTTCACTAATGAATAATACTCTAAATAAAATATTAACTACCCAACTCCACGATGTGACAATACATCATGATTACGTTTACTCCAGGAATGCAAGGCTAGTCTGATATTCAAATATATATTTCCAACTAGACATGTATACTTAATTGATTCAAAGAAAGTCAAAAGACCATCTGAACTGATACAGGAAAAAAGGTCATAAAAAATCAGACACCAAATTTAATGGAGGGATGTTATACCCATCCCTGGTTAAGACTGGAAATAAGAAACAGATGCCTATTTTTAATGCTAATGTTTAACATAGTACTGAAAGTCCTGGCCAATGTTATAAAGAAAGAAAAATGAACATACAGTGTGGTGTAATGTGGAAGATTAGAGCTAAAACTGCCATTATGTGCAGATAAGATCTTTTGGTTATGGTAGGAAAAAAACAATTACTACAGTAAGTGTAGCAAGGTTTCCGGATACAAGATCAACTTAAAAAAATCAATAGCACTCCTCTCTACAACAGCCAACCAAAACATACAATAAAAAAATAAGATACTGTTTACAACAGCAACACAACTAAAGTATACAGGAATTAAACAAGAACATACAATGAATAAAACTCTGTAATAAAACACACAGAATATGATCTGCATAATACAAGGATAAGCATGAGACTATTATTAAAAAGACGTAATTCTCTACCATGTTAATCTATATATTCAATGTAATTCCTATCAAAATTTTAGTTTTTTTGTTTGTTTTTGAGAGAACCCTGATACACTTACTGTCAACCATATGTGGGATAAAGTTCTACAGATGGTGAGGACAATCTTAAGAGTGTGTTGCGTAGAGGGTGAGGGGTGGTGGAAAAAGCAACTCACCTTGCCCTTATTAAGACCTACTGTAAATCCATAGTAATTAAATGTGACAATGGCAAAAGAATAGACAAAAAGACCAATGAAATAGAAGAGTGCTGCTCAAAGACAAACACAGGTGTTCACAAGAAACTGATATGCAACAAAGGTGGTACCACAAATAAATGGAGGAAGAATGAACTGCTGAGTGAAGAACTACAAAAACTAGCTCACTAAAAAAGAAAAAAAAAAGGCACTAGAAGCCTATTTACACCAAATAAAAGGTGGACTCTAGAGGGCTTAAAGACCTAAAGATGAAAGGTAAAACTAGTCAATTGGAAATGTAGAAGGAACCAGGAAGGACTTCTTAATTTCAAAAGAAGAAGCCATAGGTCAAAAAATATAACAGACATAAAAATTAAGGACTTACGTTTAACGGAGGATGCTATAGATAAAAACAGAAATGATACAATAGATTATCTACGAAGTCTAAAAGTGATAAGGGATTAACACTAGAATACATAAGAACTCCTGCAAAACAAGAAAAAGACAGTAAATTCCAATAGGAAAATGGGCAAAGAGTACAAATAAGCAACCTAAATAGCTCACAACCATTATGAAGAGAAGCTCAAAACTCATTAGAAATCAGAAAATATAAATAAAACAAAATGAGCCTGTACCTCTTAGATTGGTAAAAACAAAAAAGCTATAAAGCTGAATCATGCCAACTGTTGGCAAGGATACAAGAATAAACAATGTTCATGCACTGGATACAGTCATCCTAGAAAGCAAGCTAGAAGAACTTAAGGCTTGCATTCTGCATAACTAGGAATTCCATTCCTACGTATATATCCCCCAAAAATTCTTACATAGTTCCTTAAAAGGATATGCACAAGGATGACCACCACAATGGAATTCAATGGAGCCTAGAGGGAACGAATCTAAGTGTCCATCAAAGAAAAAGGGTAGAATAACAACATGGCAGAGATACAACACGAGAACTGGCCAACATTTAGAAGCTAGAAGCTACTGACGAGAGATACAAATAGATAGCAACATGGATGGATCTTAAAACCATAAAGCTATGTAAAAAAACTATAAGCAGAATAAGATATTTGGGCTATTATTAATGATTTATATCACCAATGAAATAAAAAAAAAACTGTATTTCTTCTACTTCTTTGCATTTCTAACAAACCTCTAAAGAAATCTCAGCAATAGCTAAGATCAGTGTATTTCCTGTGGAGATTAACCAAAACAAACTTTAAAAGACCAACTCTAAGTTGGTGGTACACAGCAAAATTTTCAACTCCCCAATAACCCTGTATCAGATACTGACAGACAACAGCTTTCCACTACTACGTAAATAAGTCCTAGATGGTCTTAAAAATAGATACACCTGCAATGTTGATCATAGAAATATGAAAAAGAAGAACTTGTACCTTTCAATGTATCCTGTTGGTGTTTCTACCAGACCATCAAGTCTTTCTTGAAGGGCTGCAAGAATCTGAGGATTTTGCATCATCTGAACAGTCAGCTGACGCGCTTTAAAAAAAAGGGGGGGCATCGAAAGAAGGATTTTATGAAAATGTATTACGTTATTTTAATAAGGACAATCCAATCATGAAGTTTCCCTAATCAGCCCTTAAATCACCGGTATGAGTAGAGGTGAGCAGCAGGCTAAAGAAAATTAACTCTAGGAAAACCCAATGTGCAGGAAAAGTTCAGACTCCTAATGACCTCTACTGCACGCCACTTCTCAAGGCCATTGCCACAACTACTATGAACAATACCCTTTCTCGTCCTACCATCTTGTGTTTCACCCACCTGGCATTTTGGGAAGCTCAAAGCTTCATCCAGATGCCTATCTACGACTCTTGATAATCCTCTGAAGGCAGACAACACATATCAGAAAACTGCAAATATAGTGACAGTTTCCAGGCTGGGAGAAAGACACAGTGAGTGACCTGAATATTTGTTTGATGCTTGTATAATGCGCTTGTGTGTATTTGAATAGAGAATGTTATTAGTTGAGGTAGTCAAAGGCTACAATTAAAGCCAAACACAATTTGGTTATTAATGGCACCTAAAAATTATACTCAATCCAAAGATAAGCTAGATTTATGAAAACAAATTATTTTGCTTCTTCTTTTTCAACAGACATTACACAAATTGCCATTAATTTTTCCAATTATGTTTTCAAAGGTCAATTTACTTCTAATATTAACTTGATTATTGGATGATAACACAGTTCTGATAACCAACATGCCTTTAGAAATGTCACTATTGGCCACCAAGGATACAGTCCTGTATCTTTTAAGAAAATGTTGCAAGATGAAAATTGAGGCTAGAGATTCAGTTGTCTTTTCACAATTAACCTCATTCTGGCTTAAAAATGAAAAGCTGAGTCATCTTACCGCAATATTCTTGGCCCATATCTACAGGGCATAACCAAAAGCAGTATAATCCCCTACCGCCATCACCCTTTAAAATTACTTGCTAAAGCAAATTGTGAATGATTTTGTCTACATTTAATAAATCTCTGTTGTTCTTTGGTTGGAATGGCTTTAAAAAACAGACATTTCCTACATATTAAATACTAAACATGTCCAAATAAGTCTAAGCTAGTGTTATTTGTTTAGAAGCACCACCAAAAACAACTCCCACCACCACCTGTAGCATTTCTAAATTCAGATAAATTTCCCGGTGAGCTGTTTGACACAACTACGCCACATCACTCCAGGAGTAGGGGGTACACAAAGTGACTTCTGATGGGTTACTACAGCCATATCTCCCTCCCTTACTACCATTCCATCTCCATCTTCCCCTCATTTCCTCCCTCCCACCTTCTCTCTCACACAAGCACACACACACACCATTATTAAACTGGAGGTATGGGCCAGTGGGTAAAGTGGACAAGGATCCAGAAAGAAAATGGTACTATTATTATCCTCTAAAAGACAGCTGCCAGTAAGCACTGCTTCCTAAAGTAATTTAAAATAATACCTTTGATTTTTGTTTCTTCACCAGTTTCTTCTTCTTCTACTTCTTCAACATCATCCAAATCTTGATCAAGTTCAGACTGTTCTTTGCTACAACATCATAGTATCACACCAAGGTTCAAATGTACCAATTACAAAAAAAAAAAAAAAAAAATTACAGAAAAACTTCAATTCATTTTCTAGGTTAATATGCCTCTTTCAAAACTATGAAACAGGAAATCCAAACGGTAATTCAGTTTGCTAACTTCATTTGTAAATAAGCACAAATTGGAAGTATTTAAAATTTCATTTAAAAGCATATGGTCAAAAATAAAGTTTATACTTCAAGCTTTAAAATGTGGTTTGATAGGTTTTGGTTCAGACAATGCGATGTCAGGAAGTCTGTGCTTTCTACCCAGTATCTGTTCATTTCATTCCTTAGTAACAGCAATCTGATTTTATATGGCAATATACCAAGCTAACAAGTCTCCATTTCCCAGCCTACCTTTTTAGCTAGACGTAGCTGTGACTATGTTTTGGCAGTGAGATAAAAAGGGGAAGCAGTGTAGAACTTTGAGGAAGCCACCTTTATAGGACTGTAAACAGCAGGGAGGCTTTTTTATCTTGCTCCCTCCCCAGAATAGGAATGTGATGGCTAGAACTCCAGCAGGAATGCTGGATCCTAAGGAATCCTTGAAAATGGAAGTCACTAGCTAAGGATGAAGGCGTTTGAAAAAAACAGAAGGATCCTGGATCCCTGATGGTTGTGGAGTAACCCTATCAGTCGGTACTTACTATCTTTGGGTTTTCCTCCTTTTTTCTTTCTTTACTTCATAGTGGAGATGGGGAAGAAAAATGAAAGTTAAGAAGACCTGAGCCTACTTTATGCTTAGAGCAAAGCCAGAAGGATGGCATCATTGAAAAAGAAGATAAAAAGCAATAAGTTAACATTCTTCCCATTTCATCTTAAAAATCTAGCTTTTGAACATGAGATTACAATCAGCATTAAAAAGAGGAATAAGGATATCTAAATCAATATACAGAACACCATACAATTCCTTGTGTGATTTTACATTTTTAGTATTTGGTCTAAACCAAATTTAGACCAAAGCAAGATTTAGTTGCTTTCATGTCTAGAAACAGCATTTGAAAATTTCATATAGGGATAAACACTATCTAATTTTCACGTAGGGCTAAGTATAAAAAAGGCCAACTGTATTCTGCCAGCAAAATTTATGTTCCTGTCAAGTAAGAAAAAAAAAAATCAGCCCTCCCAAGAGAAATACAGAATACTTCTGGACTATCTTTGACTTAGTACAAAGGTAAGCATATGTAGAGTTAAGGGCCCCTAACTAAAAAACATGAAACAGCTCCAGCGTCATTTCATTCAATTATTTATTGAACATCTAAATCTTAATGCTTTAAAGCAGGCGTCCACAAACTAGGTCACATGGGCAAATCCAGCTCACTACTTCTTTTGTAAATAAAGTTCTATTGGAACACAGCCACATTAAGTCCTTTATGTACTGTCTAGGGTAGCTTTCGCACTACAACAGCACAGCTGAGTAGCTGAAACAGCGACCATGCAGTCCCAAATACCTAAAGTATTTAGGATCAGGTCCTTTACAGACAAAGTTTGCTGCTCCTGCTTTAAAGACCAAGAATGCCCTCTTCCTCCCACCCTCCTAGGGCTCACAGCCATGCAAAATTAAATAATGGGGGGAAGGAGGGCGTGGGCAAGGAGTCAACTATCACAACCAATTTATTCTTTTTTCAAATATTAAAACAAAATAAGGTTCCAAGGTTAAGATGGGAGATTGCACATACTCCTCCAATCTTAATCCTTCCAAAACCCCCACTAGAATTCTGACAAAGGAGTTTTCAAACACACACTGAAGGACAAGGAGATAAAAGCAGCAACTTCACTGAGAACTGAAATCCAAGTTAGCAGTGGGGAAAGCTGAAAACCAGCCCAAACACAGAATCTTAAAAAGGACACTTTCGGAAGCAAGGCTGGGAGATGAAAGTGGATAAAAACAGGAAGTACTAAGCAAAAACTGAGAAGCAGGTTAAATCCTCAGATCTTCTCCTTCATTCTGAAGTATGGCAGTTTCTGGTTAAACAGAGCTCAGACTAGAGGACCAGAGATACAGTTAGAGTATGAGACACAGTACAACATACACATTAGATAGAATGCTGAATGTAGAGACCCCTTCCTAGCCACCTGCTCCTAATTTAGCTCTTGGAACAGTGGAAGTCAGATCTTTACCCTGACCCTCTTCACTGGGGTATCTGACCGGCCCAGGAAAAAACACCATCTCGACAGTGGGGATTCTCACAACAAATGCCCACCCTGATGACTACATTAAAATCCTAAATGGACAAGCCCCTCTGCCCAACACTCAAATTTTCCAATCAAGTTTTCTAAAACATTCTTTAATTGTGCACTCCTCCCCCCCCCCCACCCCCGCCCCGCTCTAATCTTAATGAGCAGACAACCAAGTATAACCTCCTATTTGAGGAAAGCTGTTACACTGAGACCAAAACAAAAGAGGAAAAAAAAATTTAAGAGCAAACAGACTACAGAGGGGAAAGAAACATCCAGAGGGGAGATTACAACCAATGAAACAAGATGACGATGCTATAAAACAGGAACAGGAGCTCTTGAAAATTAAAACGAGAAATTTACAAACTCAATACAAGAGTTAAAAGATAGTTTCTTCAGCTGTGCCCAGAAAGAAGCGCAGAGACAAAGATGGAAAATAGGACAAAAGGTAAACAGAAGAACCAGTCTGATATACAACATAACAGGAGCTCCAGAAAGAGAAAACGGAAAGAAGACCACCAACAAAATAAATCAAGAATTCCCCCCAGAACTGAAAGCCACTGAGCTGCCAGACTAAAAGGGTTCACTACCGAATGCCTAACACAAGAGATAAAAAAAGACCTGACAAGGAAAATTTCTCAACTCTAAAGCCAAAGCAGCTTCCAGAAATAGCTATCTATATAGGTATGTTTTTTAAAAAAAGTGCCACATACAAATGATCAAGAATCATAATGACTCTGAACTTCAACACAGCAACACTGGAAGCAAGGTGACAACAGAGCAATGCCTTCAAAATTCTGAAGAAAAACGATTCCCAAATTAGAATTCTGTACCCAAACTATCAAGCATAAGGGTAGAAGAGTCAGTCATGCCATATCTCAAAATAATTTACTTCCCTTGTACTCTTCAAAGAAGGTACTAAAGAAGCAAAAAAGAAAACATTGGATGCAGCTGGATGCAGCAAAGAGCAAACCCAAGAAAGGAGAAACAAAAGGAAACCCCAGGAAGATAGTAAAATAGATCCATGATGACAACTGTGTAACCAAGGTTAAGCAATTCAGATTGGAGCAGTGTGATTCAGGAGATAATCACTTTGACAGCCATTATCAATAAAATGCCTGCTGCCACTCCTCCATCTTTTTATGCTGAAGACAGCATGCAAGGGAGGATTAGCCACTTTCTTATATGTACTGTCACACTTAACGACAGGGATATATTCTGAGAAATGCGTCGTTAGGTGATTTCATCATTGTACGAACGTCACTGAGTGTACTTACACAAACCTAGATGGTACAGCCTACTACATACCTAGGATTATACTCAGATTAGTATAATATTATGGGACCACTGTCATAAATGCAGTCTGCCTTGACTGAAATGTTATTATGTGGCATGTCACTGTACTTGAACGTGCTGCCCTTGTGCTACTTTCCCGCCCTCCCACCTCCATGCTCCGCTGCCTACCACAGCTGGAGATAGTCACATCATACCCCTCTCCATCCCCATGTGTTGTTTTAAACTACTCCTGAGTTGGCAGACTACTCTGAAATTACAAGCAACAGACAGTGCAGCTCATCCCATTCTCCCTGACCATATTTCTGCAAGACATCCATCCACACTAGAACTGACAGATGCCAACTTCATCCAGGATGGATGACCCTGCCCATTGCCTTCTCCAAAATAAGCCCTTCTAAAGCCTCAGGAAAGTTGAAGCCAGACTACGACCCACGTAGTCTCTTTTGCTTTTTATTTTCCTGCCTTGGCGCCTATAACTAACAGTGGTAATAGTGCTTTTTTCTTTACACAGCTAAGTTTGTGACTATTTCAAAATTAAACACTGATTAAGAATCTGTAGGTGGTAACACTCTAAAGAAAAACAAAGAAATGAATTAGACAAAAGCCAAGATAGTGCTTACACCTCTGGAGAGGTAAGGTGGAGGATGCAATTGAGAAGGGGCACACAGGGCTTCTAACAGTAATGCTCTATTATTTTTAACTTGTGTACAAGTGCCCTATTATTCTTTAAACTCTACATATACATTTTATACACTTTTTATCTTGTATGTAGGATACATTACAATGTAAGCAGTAAAATCTTTGGGAAACACAAATACGGTAAAAATGAATTCTACAAGTATTTATGATTATTGTGCTCAGCACTTTCCTAAGAATAAACACTGACAAATGGTTTACTATATTTATGACAGTGATTATATACACCACATTTTGTCTTAGATACACTGTACCCAACTTTTATAATAGTAGGTACTAAGCATTAGTCATTACCATATATTTTCATAATGCATAATTAGTACTGCTGTTAACTCTATCACAGCACAAAGTGATGCCAAATCTCTGAAAAAAGAACCAACTATCTGCCACTTACTTGTCAATGTCTGCCATGTTGTAAGAACTCCAAATATCTATGGAGAGAAACGTCAGTGTTAAAAAAAAAAAAAAAAAAGCATATGATTTAATTAAAACCAATAAAAACATTTGAAGCCAAAATCCTTTAAATCAATACCACGTTGAAAACTATCCCAAGAAGAAACGTATACTCCCATTAAAAAAGTATCAGTGCTAAGAAGAAAAATCATGGAACACACAGACTTTCGTATTAGTCACCAAAGTAACTTTTCAGAGGATACTGCTTTAAAAAAGTAAGTTACTATTAGGCATTTACAATCTACGTGTAAGGACTTTTAGAATCGTAGTGTTAGCAAAGAAAGAGATGTATGCTAGCATCACAGAAAAGGAACAATAGAAAGGGTCTTTACTCAAATTCCTTGAACAACCACGAATGGCCAATTTTTGCTTAAATTTTTAGGCTACTCAGTACCCTCACAGAATAAATCCACTTCATTTTTAACAGTATTAATTCTTATCAAATTCATGTTAAAAAGCCAAAATCTGCCACCTACTGTACTCACTATGCAGCCCTCCTCAGAGGTCTTTTTAAAAAAAGTTTAATAATATTTGTATCAAATGTCAGCACTTTAAAATATTTAATAAGAGTTATAAAGCTCTGCATCCAATCTATTATCAAGTAAACCTTCCCCATCTTTTCAAATGTACCTCATGTCACATCACTGATCACCACCACGCACCCATCCAGCCTACCCTGGATATGCTGGCATGGTCAACAATGTAGACAGACTTGAATACTGTTACAATGCAGCAGAGCCAAGTTCTCTCACTGTAAGATTAGTATTGACTTAGAGAATACTGCTTTTAGAAAGCCAAAAGTTACAGGAAAATGTGTTCCATTCAGGCAGGAAAATGGCTGAACACCATAGGTGACGCACAGATTACTAAAAAAACACTTAAATCAAGCTTAGAATCACAGATTAAGTTTCTATCTTTTAAAAATTAAAACATTATTCTTTAACTCAAAAAATGTTACAAGATGTGATTCCTCATACCAACAGGCTTAACATGCTTATTACTTACGGAGTTAAGAGTTACCGAGTCAGGTGCTAATATTTGGAAGAGTACTGCCTCTGATCCAACATTCATCCTTTAGACAAATTATAAAGGAGAGATTTCTTCCTATTTTTAAGTATCTTTTATTTGCCTTAAATAATTTCTCATTGCATTGATAAATTTCTCTACTGATGCTGAGTAATTACCCAGCATTAACCAAAATAACACAGCCAAAAATTAAGAAGAAAAATTAATTCAACAAGAAAAATATTGAATCTTATTCACCAAAGAAACGCCAAGGGGGATTCTACTTTATCAAATCAGCAAGGGTTTTCTTTTAACACAAGGAAAATTGTGGTGAATATGCACTCTTAAATATGGCTAGTATTCCTAAAAACTATTACCCTTCTGGATAGCAACTTGGGCACAGGAGTAGCAAAAGCCTTAAATATGCCCATCTCCAGTATCATTCACTTATGAGAATCTATGATGAAAAAAATTAAATGAAGAATCTAACGGCCTGTGCTTTTCACGTTCACCTAAAAGGTGGTTCCAAAAGCTTAGTTTTAACAAATCCTATACATCCTTTGGCTCTCAGCTCAAAAGTTTTACTTCTTCAAAGATGCCTTAGTTTGTAGTTGTTAATCAGTCTGATTATCTGACTAAGGTCTGTCTTCCCCAACTGATCAGACACTGATCAGACAAGATTCACCATTACAGGGATTATACTCCCTTTTGCCAACACTGCCACTACATCCTTCAGGGTATGTATACATACATATGTACACACAGATACACACACGAAGTGTATATGTGTATATATACACATATATGTCAGCCTCAATTAATTCTTAATTCAACAAAAATAAAATTAGTATATACAGCAAGGAATGTGCATACAATGGAATGCTTTGCAGTCAAAATGAAGCAGATCTCTGAGTTGATATGGAAAGAGCACCAAGGCAGGGGGGTAAAGGATGTATGGCAAAATCCATCTGGATATGAAAATATATATGAATATGCATACTCATATATGCACATACTTTCTTATGAATAAAACATTTCTGGAAAAATACACCAGAAACCTACCAGTAGTTACCTATAAGAAAAAAAAGATTGGGAGTAAAGGAGAACTTATATTTCCTTCCACATTACTTGGTTTTCCCATACACAGTTATGTATTTAAGAACATTCTGGAATTTGCTGAGTTGAATATACAGTGTCTAGTAAACCCAACAACTATCAAAAATACGAAACAAAAAAATCTCCCAAAACTCCTAAATTCAAATATTTATAACATCTAACGTGTTCACAGAAGAATGTCTACACTGCTACTCTCAGGGTCCACTAAGTGGCATTACAATTAGAATTCAAACTCTCATTATGGGATTCTTTTCATTCTCTATTAAAAAGGATTCAAGACAGAATAGCATGGCATTTACTTCTTCAGAGATGGCCTCTCCAATCTGCCCAACCTGGCTAAATTAGATTTCTTGATTGTACGCACTTTTGTTTTTTAAAGTAGGCCTAATTTTGTAGTCAGATTATTTGGTTTGACACCAGCTTTGCAGCAATCTAGCTCAGGCAAACCAAATCCCAGCTTTATTTCATCATCTACAAAATGCAGGAAAACACTGTTGCCTCACTGGATTGTTCCCATAAGAAGCAAATTCATGTAAAACACTTAACTTGGAGTTGATACCTAGTAAGTACTCAACAAACGTAAGCTATTTTTTCATTTTGTCCATTTTGAATTATCCTTAGCATCAGGTCAGTGTTTCTGCAAAATAATCAGCTCAGATAGTAATTAAGATGTTAACGCTAGGGGAAACTGAGTAAGGGGCATATGGGAACTCTCCAAACTATCTCTACAACTTTTCTATAAATCTAAAACTACAAATAAGTTTGTTTTTTAAAAAAGAGATTCCCACACCCAGATTCTGAACCAACAGGTATGAGGAAGTGGACCCAAAAATCTGCATTCTAAACAAGAAACCCTGCTTCTGAGGCAGGTGGTCTCAGATAATCAGATCACATTGAGAAACACAGGTCTGGGTTAACATCTACATTAATTTTTTTACTTCAGTCAACAACATTAAATAGAATGAATGAGAATTTTATTTATCAGACATGAAATCGTTTTCTAAGAGATCTGAAGAATTTCCATTCTGGTAACGACAAACTAGATTATGCAGACCAACTCTACCAATAAAAAAAATTGAAAGTACAGAATAAAATATTTGTTAAATCTTAAAAGCATGGAAAATGCTAAGATAGTAAGGAATCACTGACCCACAACTGAAGGCAAAACAAGAAGCAAAAGAATAAGCAGAAGGAAGCCACTTTTGCCCTGAGGGCAACTGCCAATCTCAAATGTGAACTCCTGGGGGCAGAAATCAAAAGCCCTGGACATACCCAGGGTAGAGAATCTTTACAGCAACCGTCCCAAATTAAGCGAGATCCCAAAGTCCTATATTCTCAGGGATAACAAACCAGTACTACTTGGAGAAAACTCCAAGATCACCACGTCAGTGTTGCCCCCAAAACCCCAAGCTATGACTCAAAGTGGTCTGTCTGACAGTGTTCCTAGGTACCGGCATATCCAAACATTAAGTGAAAGGCACCTTCACCCTAGACCTCAAATAATTTATACAAGTAATTTTCAAAAGCAATAGGGGAAAGAGAAAAGAACACAACAGAAACCAGTCTTATAAAGACTTAAATATTGTCAAAAAGACCATAAACAAACTTATAACTACAAACATACACAAAAACAACCATGATCACTAAGTTTGAAAACAGTGTCTGCAGCAGTATTGGCAAGGAACAGTCATCTCTTAAAGGTGATACAGCAAATTTGGCAAATAACTAAATAAAGCTTCTAGAAAGAAAAATAACAGACATTAAACTAAATGGGCATGTTTAACAGTAGACTAAACACAGCTGGAGAGAGAATTAGGTGAGTTGGAAACAAGCTTAGAAGAAATCTTCCAAAATATGGCCTAAAGGATCGAAAGTACTGAAGTTGGAAGACATTTTAGGATTCAATAAAGTTTAACAATGATTTAACACAGGTTCTAGGAGTAGAGTAGAGAATGGGCAGAATATTTAAAGAAATTAACAGCTAAAAATCTTCCAGAACTAATGGAAGACAGCCGTACATATCCCAATCAGGATAAATAAAAAAGAAATCCACACTTACATCAGGCAGTGAAAAGGCAAGACACTAAAGACAGAAGTCACTGCAAAAGTAAAGAGAGAAAAGACTTAGATTAACTTCAAAGGCACAAGACTGACAGCCGTTTTCTCTTCAATAATATATACCAAAAGACAAGAGAATATGCTGTCATGCTCAATGTGCTGAAAATAACGAGGATCTTAGAATATTATACCCAACCAAAGCATCCTTTTAGAAAGAAGGTAAAATGGATACTTCCAGGCAAAAATACCTCCAGCACTCTAATAAATTCTGTAAGCATGTTGTTCAGGCAGAAGGCAAGTGATCCCAGACAGAGAGTCTAAGATAAAAGAAACGAGGGGCAAAAAGGATATATCTAAATAAATATTTTAAGAGAAATATTACCACTGTGTAGGGTGTTAAAAAATTAAAACTACCACAACATTAAGTCAGTGGTGAGGATAAGGGGGGGACAAAATGGATTAAAATACTCTAAAGTTCTTAAGTATACATGTAAGTTCCAAAAGATTAAAAACAGAACATACAGGGGCCGGGCTCATGGTCGAGTGGTTAAGTTCGCGTGCTCTGCTTCGGCAGCCCAGGGTTTCATGGTTCAAATCCTGGGCCAAGGACATGGCACCGCTCATCAGGCCACGCTCAGGTGGCATGCCACAACTAGAAGGTCTTATAATAGCTAGATGTCCAGACATGTGCTATCAAATAACTTATCATTCCAGTAAACCTGATTCTGAATAAGTTCTCCCTACTTTCAATGAGAAGTAAACAAAGCCAACATTTAAGGAGCCTACTTCTGTAAGGGACTCTTCTAGGCTTTCCTCTTATTTGCAGATAAAATATTAAGCAACCTGCTCAGTTAGCACATAAGCAGCAAGTGAAACTGGGAATTAAAACCTGACTTCCAACACCATGCCCAGTCCTCTATTCCAAAAACTAAGTGCTTTCCCTGTCAGCCTACTGCTACACAGATTATACAGAAAGAACCCAATCATCTTACTGAAGTCGCCTTACAGAAGATGACTATTTCATGGTGAAATAATAAATAAAAAGTACAAATATTTTAAAGCAAGAGTTCAAAGGAACCAGTAATATCCCAAGAAGATTTCCCTGTATCTCAGACCTCATATCTAATTCCAAATGCACTTTAAACAAATCTGTATCAGACACTGTCCTATTAACATTTTTAGTGGTCCAGGGGACCCAGAACTTTATTTGGCTCCAACAAGACCTCCCAGTTAGAATACTTTATTCTCTATGTTCACTTTTTCACTTCAGGGATATCAACAGTCAACACAGAACTGACTTTTGCATTAGAGTCCCAAACACAACAGACTGCTACTTGAGAACGCTATCTTCTGTCCAAGGGATCTCCGAGTATTATCTGACCCAATAGCAGAGCAACATTACTGGGTCGGACTGTTATTTGGCAAAAATTTACCCAGCATTAACAAACAAAAACAATTTACTCACATGGAATATGTATCTGACATGCTGGAAGACCTTGTAACCATTAAGTGCCATACACTTTTCCTGGAAGCACAGTGAAACCCAGGCAAAAGTGCTTGTGAATTCCAAGCTGATGTACAGCCTAAGAGTTTAAGTCAAAGGAACTCTAAAACCAAAACAAAATCCTCCTCATAAATCAACACTACTCAGTTATGTCACCTTGGATAAGTCCTTTAACTGCTCTGTACCTCAGTTTCCTCATTAAAATGTTGATACTACCTGCCTCTAGCAGTAAATGAGTTAAAACTCTGCCTGAATAATCACTTAGTAAGTGCTGTTAATATTATTTACCCCTGTTGTGCTCTTCTGTACCCTCTTTACCTTAGAAAACAACTCAAAGTAATAAGCTCTTCAAAATTACAGCCCCCTTTCCCAATAAAAATCAAAATGTACAAAACTTCTGAACAAGTGAACAGGCATCAAGTTATGCAGCAGTAGAAGGCAGAGCCGGTAAGCAGAAGTCTGGAGGCCACATTCTGCAGTAAGCCCACGAATGGGATCTCCTGGCCTGCGGGCAATGTACTTACCTTACAAGGCTGAGCGAAAGCCACAGCACTCCCTTCGTAAACCCTACTCTGCCCAACAAGGGGAGAACAACAACTTCAGATGAAGTCAGGAGGAAAAGGGACTCAGTAGTCACTATTCTCATAGGATCTGTCATGGAAGGAAAACTGTAAATACTACTCTACTTGCCCCACTTTCTTTTTCTTCTCAGCACTCATCACAGCTCGACATCTTACATTCAGTCCACCAATTCGTCTGTCTGGCTCACGACATGATAAGATACGTCCAAATAGGTGCTAACATATTTACTCAAAGAATCAACTAAGAACACGAGTAATTACAGGTCTGATTAGACTGAAGGATGTGAATAGACCGATCATTAGTTTTCTAAAGTGATCAGGATTCATTCTCTGTAATCTTATCTTTCATTAATATTTCAAACTTACAATCAAGCAAAAAAAAAATGAACAAAGTAGTATTTTTTCTGACATTTTCATACGTCTAAGTCAAACAGATTCGGCCTCTTTCAGCACCTTATCCTACAAAAGGATTCTACTGAATACATTTTTGGGAGTTTAGAAGCAAATCGGTCACCTACAGACAATATGGGAAAATTGAATAAATAATAAAATAAGCAATAGCATTTTTAATTAAATTAGTTCAGGTACAAGTATCGGGTTTTTTGTTTTCTCTTTAATTTCTAGAGTGTGAGAACAGTCATGTGCCACATTTAGTAATTTAGTATTAGCTTAATAATTTTCTGTCAATAAGTCCAATATCAAAAACAGGTACTTTGCAACAGACAGAATTTAGAAAGATTTTCAAACTGGTAAGGTGAATTTTTAAAAAATTTTATTTATCAAATTAACTATCACTAACCTGAAAAGATAGATAAAAAGTCAAGGTTTTTACAATGATAGATGTCCAAGTCGACCAACTGAATGTTTAGTTCCATCTATCCTCCAAAGGACCAGTCTCGAGTAAATCACACATTTTAGGTTTGGGCCCCTAATCTGAACTCGGACAACTCTGAACGTGCATGAGACAAGAGTTCCAGAAGACCACCGTAAACCTCATTTGCCTCCCGTCAGTTTTACAAAGTTATTCTATATATAAAGTTTCTCCCGTATCCAGTCAAAGCTAAGGTGTGTCACTTCCTAAGTAAAGAACTAATATTAATTAGAGCTGACCAAAAAAAGGACGTGAATTGTGATGTGAAAAGGTATTTCGATGCCACCTATTTTTCAAAAATGGCAAATGTCGTTTCCAAGCGCAGCGCCTCCAGAGCGCCGGGCCGGCGCCAGGGCGAAGGGAGGGCGGAGGGCCGCGGCCCCCGGGCCCCCAGGCCGCCGGCCCACCCTCCCGGACAAGCGGCCGCGGCCGGGAAGGCCCCGCCGCCGGAGCCCGCGCCCCACGGCCGGAACCATGGGCAGGGCAGCCATCCGTGAGCGAGCAACACAGGTCCTGAAGGATTAAAGGCATCTCGGGCCAAATCCTTTCTCTCCATCTTGGAACCGTCCAGAGGATGGGACTGACTAGGATCAAGCGTCCCCAAAGAAACACTCTGGTCAAGGCAACCATCCCAATTCTGCCCGCACTGGAAGGGCACAAAAAGACCTTTGTCAGCAGCAGCTAACCCAGCGCGGGGGCCGGCTCCCCAAGGCCCGCGCCTCCGCCGGAGGCGGCCAGTGAGGCCGGGCAGAGCCCCCGCTCGTCCCACCGCGGCCCGGCACCAAAGTCGGCCCGCGGCGTCCGCGGCCACGTGTCGAGGGGCCCGCGGGCCCCGGCGCGCCGCCCCTCCCGCCCGCCCGCGGGCCCCGCGCCCCCGCCGTTCTCGCCAGCCCCCGCGGCCTCGCTCAGAGGGCTGTTTGGAGGCAGCGGGGCAGCGCCTCGAGCCGCTCGCTGCGGCGCGGCCGCCTCCTCAGGGCGCCGGGCGTCGCCGCCGTCCGCGCGGAGAGACGGCGGGCCCCGGCCCACAGGCCGCGCCGACCCCGAGTCCCCTCAGCCGTCCCCAGGGAGCGCGCCGGCCCGCCCGGGGCCCTCAGGCTGCGGGCCCGAAAGGCCACGGCCGCTGCGGCTCGGCCCCCGGAGGCCCGGCGGCCCCGCGCTCGGCCCGGCCCTCCCCTCCCCGGCCGCTGGCCGCCCCTCGCGCCCCTTCCCTTCAGGCCCCGTCCGTTACCAGCGGCGAGCGCGCAGAGCCAAGCGGCCGGAGCTGCGCAGGCAGTGACTCAGGGCGGCGGCCAGAGGAGCAGGAGGCGGCGCCGCGAGCAGATGGCGCTAAAAAGACCCGAGAGCCCGCCGCTGGCGCTCATATACAATTAGCGTCAGCACGCAGGGACCGCTCCGCGCCCGCCCCCGGCCTCGCCGTCGCCTAGCAACGCGAGCAGGAGGCGGGTCCAGGGCGGGTTGCCTAGCAACAGAACCGTCCTTCTTCCCTGACGACCTCCACATCCTGCGCGCTGCGCTCGGGTTCCCCGGGTTCCCGCCCCCGCCCCCTACGACGCGCCCTGCCGTCTCTTTTTCTCCCCGCTGTTCTGGAAGGGAAATCTCAGCTCCTTCTGCCCCCGGGAAGGGCCCTGACCTGCGCGCCTCGGCCGCGGCCCGCCTCGCCCCCTCGGCGTGTTGCGGGCGGGGGCGAGGGCGGGCGCCGCTGCCCAGGGCGGGCCCGCGGCATCCTGACGGCCGCGCTCTTCCGTTCCTGTCCCTGTCCGGGCCTCGTTCCTGCGGCTCCCCGGTCCCCGGTAACCATTTTTTCTGTCCCCGCCCATTTTTCCCCCTTAAGAACAACAGTTCTTTCCTCCTGACCGCCTCGGCGGCGTCTTCTACCGGTTTTGCTTCTCCTAACTCAGTGGGTCTCTGGGGCTTCCGCGGATGCCCTTCAAATCTACCCCTTTATACTTTTATTTGATGTGCTATCCCTCCTTTCCTCGTTCTTTTGATGGGTGAAAAATGGCATATTTGTGTTTTCTCTGGATGGCTTATAACGAGGACACTCTGTTGTTTCATCCTTCTGAAAATGTAAGTCCTTAGGCCTGTGAAACCTCACTTGATGCTGGATTGACTAATAGTAACTCTTAAAACAGTGGTTCTCAAAGTGTGATCCGAGGGTCCCTAGACCCTTTGAATGGAGAGGTGAAAAGTATCTCCATAATAATAACGAAAACGTTAATTGGCCTTTTGCACTCTCTCTCTCACAAGTTGTGCAATGGCGTTTTCCAGGGCTGCATGACATGTGATATGGAAACATTGAAAACAAGCAAATATCAGAATACAGTCATCAGCTGTTAAACCAGACATTGAAAAGATTTGCAAGATGGTAAAACAATGCCACTCAACTCAGTTTTTTTGTTTGTTATACTTTTCATATAAAAGTACTCTTATGTTAACATTTAATTGGTGTATTGTTTTTAAATGAAACAGTAACTACTCTTGAAATTTCTTAATTTTAATTTCTAATATAAATATCAGTATCTATAATGCACATAAAAGTTCTTTGGTGTCCTCAATTTTAAGCTTATAAAGAGGTCCTAAGACCAAAAGTTTTGAGAACCTAGTGTTGCATTCCTTGAAACTTCAAACTGCCTGGAATCATCTGTTGTAATCCTCACGCTTAGCAACTCACTCTATTCCATTTTAGAGAGACGGTTTTTTTCCTTGGCACTTCCCAACCTCATTGATATTAGTTGCCTTTCCCACTCTATGCTGCAGGTGCCTCAGTTTACCTATTCATTATGGTTCTTCATATTTGACTCTTGTTTTTCTCAACCTTCTTTCTTCATGTATGTCCTACTCAACAATGATGTAAGGCTAACAAGGATTATAGTAACATCAGTAATGGCTCCTCATGAAGAATCCACAATGTATAAACTAGGTGGACCAGTGCCCAATATATACATAAACTTGGCACTAATTTCAGTGGAACCCTCAAAAGTATTGCATTCTAATCAAAGCTATGCACAGTGCAACCTAATTAGCATATTAAAATGAACTGCATAACTTTCACCTCCTTTCCATAAACCTTTGTGGTGGTAGAATTTAAGAGACCAAATTGAGAAGTTAGCCTTTGTGAGGACTTTTATCCCACTCCAGGGAGCCTCACCAATTTCAGGCGCTGACACTTCACACCCATCCCCATATTTAAGGGCTTATCATGACCAGTTTATATTCCCTCTTTCCCCTTTTCTCGAGCCTCCTCTTCCTTCCTCCAGCTTCCTCCTCCCCTTCTTTCAGTGTATCCAGTCAATCTAAGAAACAAAACACCTCGGGGGGCCAGCCCACTGGTGCAGCGGTTAAGTTCGCACCTTTCGATTCTCAGCGGCCTGGGGTTTGCCGGTTCGGATCCTGGGTGCGGACATGGCACCACTTGGCACACCATGCTGTGTTAGGCGTCCCACATATAAAAGTAGAGGAAGATGGGCACGATGTTAGCTCAGGGCCAGGCTTCCTCAGCAAAAAGAGGAGGACTGGCAGTAGTTAGCTCAGGGCTAATCTTCCTCAAAAAAAAAAAAAAAGAAACAAAACACTAATAAATTACTGATAATGCAGGCCTTTTAATGTGATCTTTTGAACCACAGTTTGTCAATCTAAACCTCTACCTTTTAAGTTCAGGGAAGGCCTATCATTTATGCATTCATTCAACAAATATTTGTATGTTCGGAACAGCTTGAGACACTGGAAATACAGCATTGAGGAAGAAGGATAAGATTTTTTATTTTATTGAACTTATGTTCTAGTGAGGTGGGGCAAGTGATAGACAAGTAATGAAATAATTTTAGATATTAGTAAGTGAAAGAGCTGTGAAGAAAATAAAATAAGACAAAGGGGTAGAAGGTGACTGACCTGAAGATACCAGTGAGCTTTTCACATGGACCCCCTTAGATCCCAAATCACACCATGTATTAACTCATCTAATTTAATTACAATAAATGGTGGCTCTGATCACTGATCTTGGACCCTGCTAAACTTTCAGTAAAGTTGCCTTTTCCTTCAGGCCCCATTATTTGTGTTAGTAGATTTTTATAGCCCTAGTGGTTCAGAAATGTGGCTTTGGAATCGAGCAGCCCAAGTTCCATCCTAACTTTGTTATGAAATTTTAAACAATGTTTAAGTTGCCTAACACTGTACCTGACATATAGTAAACACGCAATAAAATCTAAACAATATAAATCTCTTCATGAGGTTTTGTTTATTTAAAGGTTGAGGGAACTCCCCTGAAGTCTCCTAATAGTATCTGACACTATTTTTGAGAAATATTTTATCAAAAGCTCTCTTATCAGAGGTCAGCCCCATGGCCTAGTGGTTAAGTTCAGCATGCTCCACTTCAGCACCCTGGGTTTGGTTACTGTGCACAGACCCATGCAGCTTGTCAGTGGCCATGTTGTGGCAGCAACCCACATACACAATAGAGGAAGATTGGCGCAGATGTTAGCTCAGGGCAAATCTTCCTCAGCAAAAAAAAAGCTATCATAAATTTAAAACATGTTTTCCTGAGCTGAAAGAATCTACACTGACTACCACAAAAGGAATATCTTCCCCATTTCTAAATACTGGATACAGACCTTATACAGATTGAGACAAGTTGATGACAGAGACAACGTCTTAAATGTGCTTGTGTCTGTATTTCAGCCCCTAAGTAGTAAAAAAGTGCGTAGACTTGAAAGTCAGACAGGCGTAGGTTCATCCCAACACTGACCCTGCAAAAGTCCTTATGCACTTTGACCCTTGGGCTTCCCCATCTGAGAAGTGTGTTAATGATTCTAATGAAACTTACCTCTTCATTAGCAGGCAGCAGAGAAATGTACGTAAGCCCCCAGAGCAACGACTTGCACTTTAAGTACTCAGTAAATGTTTATTTCTCTCCCTTCCCAATTCATCAGTATGTAAAATGTCTAATGACACCAACAATATTCATCTAGAAACTGCACAAATTATATTTAAATAACTTAGGGGCCGGCCCGGTGGCACAGCAGTTAAGTGCGCACATTCCTCTTCTGTGGCCCAGGGTTCACCAGTTCAGATCCCCGGGGGCCAACATGGCACTGCTTGGCAAGCCATGCTGTGGTAGGCATTCCACATATAAAGTAGAGGAAGATGGGCATGGATGTGAGCTCAGGGCCAGTCTTCCTCAGCAAAAAGAGGAGGATTGGTGGCAGATGTTAGCTCAGGGCTAATCTTCCTCAAACCCAAAAAATTTTTAAAAAGTAAAATAAATATCTTAGTTTTGAATCTGGTTGGTTTTATTTTTCATTTTTTCCAAATAACTATATAAATGCAACATAAAATTAAAATTCCAGTAGGGAGTTGTGGATAAATTGCCTTAAATTTCTTCCTCTACATCCAAAAAAGAATTGATAGATTTTTTTGTTAGAAAATGTCTTTATTTTGCTATCAGTCTCAATTGAAGTTTTTATTGAAATGATTGTAGATTCACATGCAGTTGTACCAAATAACACAAAGAGATCCATCTCAACTTTACCCAGTGTACCACAATGGTAACAACAATCCACAGTCTTACTCAAATTTCCCCAACTTCACTTGGATCCACTTATGTGTGTTTGTGTGTTTAGTTCTCTACAATGTTGTCACATGTGTAAGTTTGCGTATCTGTCACCACAGGTGAGATACACAACAGTTCTCTCACCACAAGGATCCCTTATGTTGCCTTTTTATGATGGATTTTTTTTTCTAATTTACATGCCAAACATGGTTCTACCTTCCCAGATTTTACCTTTTCTCCTGTTTCTCACAAGTAGACCACTTAGGCAGAAAATAGGCCATTCCTTTATGTGGCTTCAATATTTCTTACCTGAAATATTTGCAACAGCCTTGCCATTGGTCTCCCTAATACCATTCTCCTACTCTTCTCTGATCTATGTTACCGAAGTCAGGATCTAAAATACAAGGCTAATCAAGTCTACTTTGTCATAAAACCTTCAATGGCTCTTGGAGGTCTTCATGACAAAATAAGGCCTGCAAAGCCCATCCCAGTCTCATTCCAGCCTATTTTTCTAGCCGCACCTCCCACTATCTGCTCTCGGAACCCCATAATGTATGACTTTGAGCTTCTCACCAGATCCTCAAGATGCCAAGAGTTTTCATGTTGCCTGCTCTCCCCTTCTACTTATCCTTCTATATCTAGTTTAAATTATCTTCTCTGGGGAACTTCTCTTACTCGCCAAGGCAGACTTGGCTGCACACTCCTGTCTGTTTTCAAACAACTCTTTTCTGTATGTATGTGTATGTGTTCCCATGTTTCTTTCTCCCCCAAGACACACTACACTAGATTGTTGCTTGCTACAGGGCAGTGTCCTTGTTTTTGTATACACCTGGCTTGGACAGTGACTAGCAGGGCAAAGGCTGTCAACAAATATTT